CGTTTGCAATGAAAGACATCAGCAGTACGCCGGTATGCAGTACCGACGCTTCACTGCCGCACAACCACCACCGGTGGCACATGAGCTAGGATACTGCGAGGGTTGCCCTGCCGCTACACAGGCTCAAATCTGCGCCGTCAGATTACAAGACAAGCTCGTTGCCTTTAGGCCACGGGCTGGCAGCCGTTTACAATGGAGAGTGCACGTCTCCTTTGACAGTACTGCTGCAGTTCGGCTGATGAACACGAACGTAGCCAAATGGTTTTGCGGAACTGTGTGACCTTTAGTAGCGGGTCACAAAGCGTTTCATTTAATACAACTTCTGCAGTAACCGGTGAGTCACGTAATGCGCCACTCACGAGAATTTGACGTCACGTTCGAGGTGGACTGAGGCTATGATCGCGTTCCTCGTCTTGATGATGAGGCATGAAAGTGCGTCCGCCTGGCCTATTGAAATCTTTGTTTGATAGCAAATGTCAAAATCATAGGCCAAGATTAGAGGCCGCTGGATATATAGGCAGGGATGCTCTTCTTCGAGCCGACGATAGACAGCAATGGCTTGTGATTCGTCAAAAGTTTAAAGTGACGGCCATATAATACCTTATGGAATTTCTTCATTGCAAAACTTAGGGTCAAAACATCTTTCGGGATTGGGCGGTACTTCTCCTCAACGTCCTCTCAGCGTGAACGATCGCTTTCTGGGATCCATCCGGGAAGATATGTGAGATAACTGCACCGATCTCATGTCTCCATGCATCTGTTGTGAGCATGCTTTCCTGAGCTCGGTAGTAGTGAGTCAGCAACAGGTCATACGCCAATAATGACTTGACTCGTTCGAAAGCACTCTAGCACTTCTGCGCCCAGTTCAAAGGAAGGAGATGCAAATCAGGCAAAAATATACAGCAGTAACAGATAGGATCATAAAAAAAGCGCAATGATTTTAGGTACGTTGACAGAGGCATTTTATTTAAGGCTTCTATGCTCGCTGGATCACATCCCCATCAATACGTGATAGCTGAGGGTGGGAAACACACATCAGTTGTGTCGCAATACAAAAAATATCAAATACCGTAGAATAAAAACCCCAAAAAGTAAGATGATGCCAAATATCATAATATGTATTGTTTATGAGACCGTGGTTGGAGGGAGAAGTAGAAGAGAAGGAAGAGGGATAAAGAAACTCACAACACAAACACCATTGAGGTCTGTTCCTAGCCATGGCAACAAGTGTATCCAACCAGACATGTTTACAGTTATTCGGACCACAGCAGGGCTGTCGAGACATACCAAACGACGCCAAATCCGAAGTGAGGATTCCCACTCTTCTTGATCAAATACTCGCTTGGCTTCTCGTTCTCCTTTCATATACATTCCCGGCGCGAAAACGACGCAAGTCGAGGTAGTCAGTATCCTGGCATGCGCAACATGTGGTCAAGCCATCGGAGTCTAGTGTGTGGTATAATGGTTCACTCACTATCCATGAATTAAGTACAGGACACCGAACCCGTTCACTGTTCACGCGGTGTTCCCATCAGATATGAGATAAGCTGCGAAAGCGGCGATCGTCGAACGTAACAAGCCCCTTTAACTCTGTCGACCTAGTGGGTCGCGTTTCATAACCGTACAGAAGGGCTGAACGGACGGCTGCATTTTAAACTCTACCCTTTAGGGTGAGTGATGTCACGCCGATGAAACAGGCAGCGGAGATTGGCAAAAGCGCCTCGAGATTTTGCTATACGGTTCGTAATCTTACGTTCCATAGGCGCCAATATAACTGCCTAGATCGGGTTGACGGGCATCTTGTTCAAGGAAAAAAAATCGAGGTATTTGATAGCCTTTGTGACAAGCGTGAATCTGTCTTCACGGACAAAAAAACTATACGATTGGATATGGCCAAGCACCCCCCTTCAACCGGGTTAATAACTACTCCGTTGTTAGGCCCATCACGATGACAGTATCGAGATATGCGGTGGCTTCCGAACCACTTGCGAGAATGGCTTCCATTAATTGTTGGGAAATGGCTGGTGCCGTTTCACACCAAAAGGCAAGCGGCTGTCGGAACAACCCACGATGAATGTTGATCGTTAGCAACTATCCCGAGTATGCGGCAACATGTAACTGGAAGAAGGAATCAGACAGAGTAAGCTTGGCAAAGCACTTGACACCATTCCATTTTGCAAAGATATCTTCCGGTATGGGTAATAAGTACTGCTGATGGTCAAGTGCAGAGTTCAGGCTAGTTGAGAAATGGACACAAGCGCGTACCTAGCCAATCGCCTTCTTCACTGCGACAATAGGTGCTGCCCATGAAAAGTAGATTACAGATGTGCTGATACCGGCTCGTAGTAGCCGATAGAGCTGTCTATTGGCTCTTGGCATGGCTGTGTACGGTCCCGGTCTTTTGGTCTTAAAGGTTAACCTGACTACTGGGCGCAGTTGCAACGTCGATTTGAATTCTGTGCAATAACTGAAACTATCTTGAAACAAAAATGCGAAGTTTCGCTTCAGCAACCGTACTGTCTTCGACTGACCTCGTTGAAGAGTCTGGATTCGATTGGACTCGATTACAGATCTAGTTCAGTGGAACAACAAAGAGCCCTAACCTATCGATCCACCAGATACCAAGAAGTTCAAGCTGCCATAGATCGTCACGTGGGACGTTTCAGTCTTTTCCACTCCGTTAGATGCGATTTTATAGGCGATTTTTCCAACAAGATATAGCACGCGCCAAGTGCCTTGTGAGTCACATTATCAGAGGCAGCAACTTCCACCCCCTTGATATGCTTTTGAAAAGGACAGTAACATCAAAAACTGTGTTAAATAGCAGCTCAGAGGGGATCCCGCTGATAAGTACGCTGATGAAACCTCTGTGGGGTCTGAGCTCACCATGGAAAGCGGCAACAACTGACAGGTCTGCAACAGTAGTTTGACCATTCTGAAACGAAAATTAGATGTTCAGCGATCGAGACTGCTCGCAGAGTTATTCATTGTGGCTCCGTTGGTATCACTTTCAGCACGTGTGTCCCTTAAATAGATAGAATCGAGTGAAATGCCACTGACCGCATGATCAACAGACAGTAAGCGGTCTTTTCGGTGACTTCTGAGCGGAATCACCAGATCTGTTTGGCCTGAAATTTGTCACCGCATGTACTATGGTGGGTCTTGATCCAGTGCTGAGAGTAGTCTTGTGCGAAGCTCAGCATCTTGAGGGGATTTTACGGCACCTATAAATATGAGACACAAAAATTGGTCATCTGTCAGAGAGCGCAGCTTGAAGCGTTCATACTAACGGTTGATTAATTCCACTAGCGCCCCAAAGTCGCCAGTGACCTGCCTGACAACTTTCTGACAGTGCTTGCGAATGTTGTATAGTGATGACGACGCACAGAAAATCCCGCTTAGCTGTGACACGGCTTTGATAAAACTGAGATCATTTGGGTGTCTTGGCAGTATGTGAGTAACGAACTTTGAATGTTCACTAGTGCCGTTTGTGGAGTAGCAGTCGGACTTTCCAGGAGTCGTCCTGACGGGTAAAATCCGTTCTGACCATCTCCTCCCAGGGTCTATACTCCGCATTGAAAGTGTATCAGGGATCAACGTCATATTTCAATCTGGTAGTGGAACTGGAGAAAGGATCAAGCGAACTTGCCTGGGTGTCCTGCGAAACTGGATTGCCGCGTCGGTTTTGATCAGCTTCATTTGTGCTTGCTGTTGCCGTAGCAACATTTGGAATTGTGCTGCAGAGAAGTTCATTGCATTGCTAATTTTCTCCATCACCAGGTGCCAGATCTGCCTCTTTTTATGGGATTCCGGTTGTAATGATCTTGTTCCGAATCACAGCAAAAGTTAGAAATCAATGCATGGAGGCAAAAGTAGGTTGTAGAAGTAACTACCGAAACGGAGACAAGTAGTGTAAAACTAATTGGCATCTATAGGTCGACCCATGACTGTTCGTTTCGAAATGGCTGGGTAAACTGCTCTGATTGATAGTTTAGTTCCGCTAGTCGATAGGCAATTAAGTATGCGCGTTATGCGGTGGACACGCGTGTTCCTGAAACGACTTTATGCTTTGGATGTACACCACTGGTTCAAATCGTTTTATGACTGAAATAATGAGTCTTCCAGGGAGATTTTACTTTTAACGGGACACTACTATAGCATTGTGCTTTCCATGTATTAAACTATTTTTTTGAATTTGCAGTTACATTAATAAACAGGGCTGAAAGTGTGTGTTACAGATGAATATTCATTCGTCCTGGGTGCAAAAAGCATTTTCTTGAAGATTTGAAGGTCTTCACTCGCAAAAACCAATGAAGCACAGACTGCCTATGTTGACTCGACCAGTGCTTATTTATCAGTAATCGTGCTCTTGTACTAAATAATACATAGGTTGTAAGACAAGGCGCATATTTTTTAGGAATCGTGAGCACACCCAGCAGTAGTTTCACAGAGACAAAGCGAGGTCTTCTAATCGTCCCCTCACGTCGTACCTCCTCCTCCAGTACGGTCACACAAACTTCGAAAATGATTTCAAATTCACCCGCTCCGTTCCGGAACGCTTCTTTCGGAAACATCTGTTATCTAAACCTGCCATATCAAGCCAGAGCTATGCGTGCAAAATCCATCTGTATGCATCCCACTTCTACCATGACGTACAACTAACGTTAGATAATCATTTAATTGTTACGCAAGTTAACAAGTTAACTGGACGTGAAAGTGATGCACCTAGGTACCTCTCTCCCACGTGCTTAAGTGACAACGTGACTTATCAACTCGCCCATTGGATTTCACATCCTAATCAAAGCTTAACCCGGCACATTTCGCACATAATCTATTTCATGGAAACGTTTGAAGCTGACGAGCGTTTTACTGAAAGGAAATCTTTAGTCAGCACTTGCTGCGAACTTTGATTCACTCGAGGACAATGTATAATTTCTAACGAGACGGTGGTAAGCATATTGCACAATGGCGATGAAAAAGGGCGTAAAGTTTGAGCTTACGCGTTTAGCCACAGACATCGCTGCAACGCGACGTGGTTGCGTGCATCCGATCCGACCAGTATTCATGTAACCGGCCTCCGCCAAATACTGTGTGATTTGAGTTGTTTTGCCGCTGCCTGTCTCTCCTATCACAATCAGAACTTTGTTGTCATTCACAGCCTATAAGAGAGATAAGGGAGTAAAGGCAAAGTGAAGTGTGAAATAGTCGCTTTTGTGAGGAGAAAAATAAGCTCGAAAACGCATGATTAAAATAGCTCGGATATGCTGGTACATGTGCACTTTAGGGAACACAAAGTGAATACAAAAAGACTGTATTTAATAATGGTCTAGACTATGTAGACAAAATAACATAAAACATGGGCAGCTATGCAAAGATGTTGCTTGGATGGGAACCACCTGGTGACCAATCTTGCACCTTTATGTGCCTCCTCTAACTGTTTATGCAAGTATGCACAGTGGGGCAAATAATGTCACCGAACGAGCTAACTAGGTCATTTCGATAGTGGGTTAGTATGGTGACTAAACCTGAAAACGGGAGGGACCAAAAATATTGGAATGTGTCCTTGCTTGTCTGTAGCAGATCAGTTGCTCCGTTCAGATAACGTGGCTGATATTAACCTTGGACCAAATGATATTAGGCCGCTACATGCGAGCACAGTAACATAGTATTATGGTGCAGCGAATATCGGCCACTGGGAAGACAAATATGCTAAAGTGCTTAGTGTGTATAGCAAAAGGCTAGCTGACACACTTTTAAAACAACAATTTGTCGCAGGCAACAGATACTTGCAAACACGTTTACGCTGGGACAGCTTCACTGCTGTTTCACGCAGAAAAGATTGCATACACCATGAAAGAGGATAGAAGAGTAGAATGGAACGAGACAAAAGGTAAGCTACTAGGCAGCGTAGGGGCACGACTCGATCTCTCCCATCTCGCCACTTCACGACACCTTTCGTTCTTGTTTGAACTTATCAGGTAGAGATAGTCTGATCTAAAAGTTGTACTCGCCGTACAGTGGTTGGCAGCTATCGCCACGATCACCAGGCCATTAAGTTCCGCCAGCAAAGCTCCAAAACCCGACAATCAGCAGCGGATATCCGCGGCGGCTAGTGAGATGGCAGTTACAAAGAGCTTCAAGCCCACAGGTAGAACCAAACAAGTGGTAGATAGGGACGACGGGAATTTCATAGAAGTGAGGAACCTTGAAAGCACATTGTTTTTGTTTTGGATTAGCTGTCGTGTCTGGACTGTGACATGCATTTTCAATTGGGGTCACCGTTTAGTTTGAGGCAAACCTCTGCCGCATCGGAAGTAGAGCGTTTCGGTCCTACTCTCTCTCTCTCTCTCTCAATATCGCATACAAGACCGGTTTCATGATAATCTGAGTTAAACCTGATAGGTATTGGTTGACGACCTGACCACTAGTGTCTCAAACCTCGACCCTTCAAGAGCAAGTGGTTTATACGACAGAGCGAAAATGACAGCATGATTAGGTTGTGGAAGCCTTGTTGTAAATAGCTAGATTACTTCTGTAATTAAGCAGGTTGTTGCATTCATGAAATTCTTCCTTTAAATCAGCCAAACAAACTCCAACACTGCCAAGTATGAACCAATCAGCGTATAGGTGAAAATGCGCAGGCGTCCAATCAGCTGTTCCGTTCACTTACGTCAAGCTAGTCACTTGCTTCGTCAAGTAAGTCCTTCTCCTTCCTGTGATTGCATAGTCCCAACACAAATAGACTAGTGAGCTCCGAGAGCAGCGTCCGACAAAGTAGTGGGGCATTGGAGTATCAATCGTGTGCCTAGATTGAGACAGTCTCAATTGGGGCTACGGTTTGCCTTGAATTAATCCACTGTCACTTCGAGTGTTGGGATCACCCCCGAAGTGGAGAGTTCCGGTGTTGTTCTCACAAATTCTAACCATTGTGTCAAGTACTGCTCGCGTAACTCAATGCCTTAGTGATAAAAACGCAAGGCGTCTGGTTCTACCCTTAGTTCAAGCTACCTCGACATAACAAAGTCCAAATTAGGACAAAACCGGTCGTGGAGCGCAGTGTAGGGAGAGAGCAGCCCCGAAACCATCAACCATGGACGCAATTCGGAGATTGCTAAAACACACGGTTGTGAAGAGCACACTTTTCGATAAGTCTCATCAGGCGTTTACAATTATAAAATAGAAAGTTGAAACAGGATAGGCTAGTGAAGCGCGATAGAAATTGGCGAATCAGAGCAAGGCAGAAGTTGAGCAGCCTTAATGGATAAATTGGTCGATCTAATCAAGTGGCGGCAACCACAGTACACGTAGGCAGACATAGACACACACATAGGCTCACGTCTATTCGAATGGTTGGGTGACGCACCCATCGCCTGATGATTGTCAGCATGTTGAGTGAAAGCTAGCCCCAAGGCAGAATGAGCGCTTGAATAAGCGCCATCTCTTTGCATAGTTCAGGTTGTGTAAACCTGATCGCAATGGCTTTGGCCGTCCGTAACATTCGTTTTCTAAGCCCCTTGGGGTACCGTTTTGGAACAACATAAAACACTTTAAAAGTATCAGTAGCCTTGTTTTGATATCCACTTTCGACCAGATGTTCTAGGATAGAACTCTTGATGCAACCGACAGTCCCTTTCTGCAATGCTGTGGGCCAGTGCTTCGATATCCGTTTAAACAGACCCCTAGTCGTATATCCGACGCATCTCACGTCAAGTAAATTGATATAGAATGTAAGATCCGGACTGGACCGAGAGTCTGTCTTTGGGACAGCTCAAATACTGCCTTGCTCTGATTCGCCAATCTCTATCGCGCTTCGCTAGCCTATGCTGTTTAAAATTTCCATTTTATAATTGCAAACGC